TTTGATACCACTTGTAGGATCTACAGGAAGATAAAGAAGGCCTAGAGGGGCGGTGAATAGGCCTGTAAAAATTCAACTCAAAACTCTGTTAGAACAGAGGGCGGTACTACCGCTCTATGAAAATAAATCTAACACAGTTGAGATTTTGTAGAGATAAACCTGACCCCACTAGCTGCTTAATCCTAGGATAGAAAAATAAGATCCAGTTCGAAGACTGAATACCACAGAAACTCCACACAAAAGTGGATCGAGCAACTAAACCCTAACAACAGCTAGCAATAACGTAAAGCAGCAAGTAAACAAGATTAAGCATGTGAGACACCAGATTTATCCCGTGGTTCAGCTCACCACAAATGTTTGCCTAAGTCCACGTTGTTGAGGAAGCCACAAAAGGCTTGAGCTTGCCACAAAGGCTGGTCTTACCCTCGTTCTCAAATCAAGAGAGTGAACTCTTGAAGTGAGGGGTGATTTCTTAGCTTTCGAATGAGGTTACAAACCTCCCAAGGCTGCCACACGAGTTGGCAAGCATAAGGGCGACGCCTAGCCGGCTAGGAGCAAGCTCCAAAAGTAACAAACCCTAGAACCGCCGGCCAAACGTGAACCAAATGTTCTTAGACTTTGGGAATCAGTGAATCTTCTCTCTAATCGAGTTTTGCTGCCTTTTTCTCTCAAGTTTTGATGGTTGAAATCAAGGATTAGCTTGAGGGATGAAGGAGCAACAATGGAGGAGAGAGGTGAGCTCTGGTTCTGTCTGATTTCGAGCAGAATGACTCAGTGAAGAAGATGACCGTTGTGGGCCGGGTCTGAAGGGTATAAATACCCCTCGAGCCCAACAGTCAGTTAAGGGCGGCACTGCCGCTCTTAACAGGGCGGCACTGCCGCCCTAGCCAAAACAGGTAATATGATATGAAATTTGGCTGGCTGTTTTGACTAGGTGAGAGGATGTAAATCTGTGAATTTAAGCATCTGGTTCAATAGTTGACCAACTGTCCTTAAATCCCTCTTAATAGTACGGCTTTTTCTAAACTTAATTTTAAAACATAAAATAATTTAAACTTCCTTTGAGCTAGGTCTGACCACCTTTTGTAATTATGACACCTGCAACCTGTACATCATCATCGTTTTTCGATTCCCTGCTTGTCATCTTGATAAACCTCATTAGTCCCCTAATTTGGTGATCATCAATACCAAAATCCACAATAGAGCTTGATTGCACTTACAAACGGGAGGGTCGAGAGGCGCGCGAGCCACGGGGGCACGAGCGAGCGGATGGGGAGCAACGACGTGGGATGGGGTGCGTGGCGCTGTGGAGCCTGACGTCGCTAGCAGGCACACGTCGTTGGAGGGGCGAGGCGGCTGGGAATGAGCGGACGGTGTGACGAGCGGATGAGTGGAGGAGGACGCGCGGGTGCCGTAGCCAATCGTTATCTGCCGCGTCCGGAAAACGTCACGTTTGAGTCAGAGCATTATCGACTTTTTAATCATGGTCTTGGTTGTTATGTATATCTTTAGTACTGCTATGAAATGATCAAAAGAGCTATGTGGAGGCACACACGATTAGGACTTATTAGGAGGGCCTACAAACCAAAGTACAGCTTTTTTATGTTAACCTTACAAATTACAACAAAACGTTCATATAACCGGAGTGTAAAACGTGCAATATGAATTTCGCGTGGCACAGATTTTCTTTGACAATTAGAAAAGAAGAAGAGTAAATCACTGATCTTTAGTTAGTTGTAGGTTCCTCTGACCGCTACATGCATCACGACCCTACACTGGTAATTAATCACATAGTTGGCCTGGCTAATATATGCCTTTGGGCGCTGGCGCAATGATGCGTTGATATTTTCTTTCGGCATCTTTGCAGCCAGCAGGACACATGAATCATGATGAGCTAGCCCGATCGCTTCACACTTCTTCCTTGCCTGTTGCTCGCCACCCCAGTCGAGAGCCAGCCTCGAGTGCTCACCCCAGGCAACTGGATCTGGCCCTAGGGGCTGAAAAATGAACGCGCTAGATTATTATTGCCGGGTGAGGCAACTCAGCCGGGTAAATAAAAATCGTTCTATATATATCTTTCATCCTTCAGCAACATTTTCTATCATATGTGTACTCTAGAGAGTTAATCTCACTTTTCATCTTTAACTAGCGAGAAATATAAAATAGTGAATGATAATATCTAGATCTAATTAAATATGCTCTTGTAGGATTTTTTTTCCTTCACTACCGATAAGGAAGAATACAGGGAGTTGGAGTTGCTCTATGCAAGCACATATAACCTACTCTGTACTCTCCAATTTTATTGGCCTTCTCTAGGTCCACATATTCCGTAGACCCCTACCGGATCACGAGGCCCAAAGCCAATTTCAATAGGCTGTGGTAAAACTTCACTTCGATCGGTTTCATTTTCCAGCTCCGAAAGACTAGATCCTTTGCCTGTTTTCTTAGGCATGATGCACGATTGATGATGATCACGAGCGGACCTTGTCCAGGATGAGTGGGTATAAAAAAAATACAAGCACACATCTTTATTTAGTATACTCAAATCCGGATGAACAAAATTCAACGAGTAGCTCAGTTCAAGAATGGAAATATATTAGTCAAATCATTACTTTTTACTTACTCGGAGATAGCAAGATACAACGCGTACACTCGCACACTCGGAATTACAATGGCACCAAAGGAAACAAAAGAAAAAGGAAAACATTCACCAGGTTCAATTACAATTTACAATCATAAAAGGGGAAATCAATCAATAATAACAATGCACACGCATTATGCGGTTTTGGAACGAACTTCCTTTGACGGAAAAGAACAAAAAAAAAAAAACCTTGGAATTTGGAATACCAGAGCAAGCGTAGCAATCTCGAGCTTGTTTGGCAGTATCTATCAATCAATTGGCCCCAACCACCGATCCTCCGCCCACAACTGGGTCTCTCGACCTGATCTCAACGGGCTGTAAGTGCAGAAATCACAAACACATGGGGCACGTACTACGTCAGTAACCTAAGCAAAACCTTTTGTACCAATAACAATCGACAAGAAACTGGGAGGCGAGATGATTCTGGAGCAGGACCTGCTGGACATTTGGCAGCTTGGTGGCCTCTGGCACATCCTTGTCTCTGCCGGCGCCGGTGCCGCAGCCGCCCCAGCCGGTGATGCGGTCGACGAGGCCGAGGAACTTGTCCTTGAGCTGAGTAGCGAAGCTCGCCATCAAGTCGTACGTACGTGTAGCTGCTAGCTGTGTGCTTGCGTGGCTACCTACGAGATTACCAATGGAGCAGTAGTGCTAGTCTGCTACAGCGGTGTGGGCGTGCGTGAAGGCTACCTGAACTCACTCAGTTGCCTTGCTCACTATGGCTTAGCTCGGAGAGTGCGAGTGCCGGAGGCGATCGCCGAGGGCTCCATTTATACACGGCGTGGCAGCTCACCAAACACGTTAGCTTTGCTGGACGAGGGCCATGACAGAGTAGAGTATACTCATCCTGCCTCGCCTTTCAGATTTCAGAGCGTCGTTTATTACTTTTAGCCTAGCTCGCACGCATATCACGCCTGCGATCGAGTAATGGCGCCGCTTGAATCGCGCTGCGTCCATTCCGTGGCATGATTACTCTCACGACCACGGGTTAGCCGCACTGGCACTGTGGCTCCGTTCGCATCGCTGAAAAAATAAGCCAAAACATTGTTCCGGCTGATTTGTTGTGAGAGAGAAAACACGGTTCCGGCTGAAAAATACGGATTATAAGAGAAGTGAACAGGGCCTATATTATCTTATTTTAGTTTTTTTTAAAGGAGCATGTATTAGTATATGACTGTCACATTGTTGATTTGGTAAGCCGTAAGCGTTTTTTAATTTAAAAAAAAATAGAGGAAGCTGTAAGCTTGTTGGACCCGAGCGATGATGCATTGTGCTTTTTTCGCGATTGTATTAATGCTAACACGGGCCTAGACCCAACTACTTACACGGGCCCACAGCCCAGCACGACCCAACACCGCTCTTTCTTTCGTGATACCCCTTTGCCGCTCTTGCTACACCGCTGACATAAACGCAACTCCTGTTCCTGACTCCACAGCTCAAGATTTGAAGTAGCAGCTCATGCTCACCCCTAATCGTCAACGTCGTACAGGTAAAAGCTTCTAGAGAACAGCTGATTGCTTGAAAGAAGCACACCTGATCGGACTCTTTTGGCTTAGGTGAAGTCTCCAAGGAACCCGGAATCCTCCGTTCCAACATTTTTTTGGATGCTTCGTAGGTAGGAGTATGATTCGAATTATGAGAAATGCAGGTGATTGAGGTGACACCAGTACCTAGGACGTCAAAGTGTCCATGTCCGATCATCTAGGATCTGAGAGCATATATAGAGGTAGGTCCATAGTACCTTGTGCTTCTTCTCGTTCGGTTCTGACTTCTGACTTCTCTTCAAGATCATGGGATGCACGTTTTACTGATGAGAAATGCAATACCTGACGTGAGCAGTTCTGCAGAAGCCTATCAAGCTGGCTTAGTGTTGAACTGCAACCTGGCAGTTCATCTGATTTGGATACGAACAGATAACACATCTTAGAGGCGAAAGAATGCCACCAGGCAACAGCTGACCCAGAAGATGATCAAACTGAGCAGGATAAAGTCAGCGTCCTTGCTCATGCATGGTCAGCACTGATTAGCTTGCAACAAAATTGGGCACCACATAATGAGAAGACTAACTTTTCCATATGCATTCTAACCATGGGATACGTTTTTATTGATTCCAGAACCTCCAAATGTACACGCTGAGCGCTTATGAACCTCATTTTCTTTATTAACATGGCACGAACTTGGGGATTCACATTCCTGTGAAAAAGATCATCTTGTCCTGTTTTCTTATGTTTATACACGCAATTTATCATGGCTTCTATCACTCAAGGAGACATTGATTACATGTAAATAAGCCAATAAAACATGGCCATGAAACCAAGGGCATTAATAACCAAGAGTGAAGAGCCAAAGTGACCATAGAGCCCTATTGCAATGCTTGTGACATGGTCGAGCGATGAGAGAGTTGCTGCTCATACAGGGACCTGAATATCTGATATTTTGCATCATGGTATTTCTTCACCCTAGGATCTGAAGACGGATTTACGACCTGCAAAACAAATATATTCAAGTCATAACCAGCAGCCACAAAAAAAAGATCCAAGTTAAGAATTTATGCATATTTAATGAGCACTTGAGCAGCAAGGAGCCCAATTGAAGAAAGATAATGGGAAATACCTTCCCTGCTGCATTAAGCGCCTTCATTGCATCACGAACACCGGGAAACTTCTTGCCAGCAACAGCACCCAGAACAGCAGCACCCAAAAGCACAGACTCATTCTCTCTAGGAAGTATTATGGGACATCCTGCAGCACGCAAAAGATGATGCATCAGAGAGGGATGAAGTTGGAGAGGCATGATTGCAAGAAGATAAGGACTTACCGGTAATATCTGCATGCTCTTGGATATACACAGAATTCTTTGCAAGTCCCCCACAAGCAACAAGTGTGTCTATCTATTATATAAAAAGGTAAAATGAGTAATCTTGGCAAGCAGAACTCTACCAATCTGATGAAGTCCTTAATAAGTACCTTGTGGCCATGAGCATTACAATGCTCCACAATATGACGAGTGCCATAAGCAATACCCTGAATTGTTGCTAGGTATAGAAGAGCTAAATGCTTCTCACTTGTATCAAGTGTCAAGCCATAAATCACTCCTTTGGATTTTGGATCAGCAACAGGAGACCTATAATAGTTTGCATTCAAATCAAACACATTGGAAGTGTGCCACTTAGATTATTTCTCTGCAATTTTCAGTAAGATGTCATGAGACATCATAAAGAGTATGCTATGCCACATTCTGGTGTGATTGTGATGCATAGCCTCATAGAAATATATGAGGGTTTTCTGCTTAGCTGTTGCGCTCTGTTGTATGGTTTGTTGACCATCTAATTATGATGGCAAGAGAAGAAAAGAGTCTTGCTGCAAATTTGGTATGTACATTGTACAAAATTTAATGTAAAGCCAAATGTTTTCACCAACTGGAGAGAGATAGTAACTGTAGATGTTGGAGATTAAGACACTATGTCTATTTCTTACCGATTTCCATGAAAATCCGGAAGTACATGGGTGTCTTGAGTTAATGCAGAAAGAAACGGACTATTCTGCTTGTGTGACATAGAAAGCAACATCTTGTTCAGTAGCTCAAATATGGATATACCTGGTAATTTGAGCAAAAAGTTAAGTTCTTTATGCTGGTTTCAGGCAGCTACAAAGATAATGTGCTTGAGAGTACATGAAACATACTTTGAGAAGCAGCATGGTTAGAAAGAAGAGGAGAGGCAACATGGTTTTCAATAATGTAATCGAGTAGAGCGCCAGTTGCACTTTGGCCACCTTCTGTGAGCCAAAACTCAGGGATCATCGCTGAATTTGGAAGCACAATGTAATATTAGCCAAACTGAAGCACAAGAGATAGAAAAAAAAAACAATATATAAATGCTGGTTGAATTTGTAATTTTGAGGAAATTAAAAATATATATTTGAGAAGGCAACTGTACCAGACCAAAACGGCCCCCAGACACCAGGTATAAACAATCTGTTCTTTGAAACAGCCATGTGGCATGTTGATGTCCCACATACCAATACCATCTGGTGGCATATTGCATGTTCATCAGAAACTGTTAAAAACAAGTTAGAATATATATAACATACACAATGTTTTGAAAGCAATTTCTATAGCAAAAACACAAAATTGCTCATCACTGACAACCAGCTTTAGATCCTGCATCTGAAATGCTTTCCATGACTCCAACTCCACCAGCATGAGCATCAATAAGTGAGGTTCCAACAGGAGTACCAGGAAGTAAGCCTAACTCATGGAATTTAAAGTTTACCAACATCAAATCATGAACAACAGACCTTGACAGCATAGGAATGTCGTGTTTACACATATTGTAGAAAAGGCACCTACACAACAGGATCGCAATGTCTTGTATATGATACAGGTTATCACAAAGTGAGCTTAAACAATACCACCTCAAAAATACTGAGCACAAGGAAGTTGCTTGCCTTTGCAGCAGTAGGTGTCAAACCAGAACCAAGAGGATGACCAGGAAAAGCGACACTGCGTCCTGTTTACATTGCATAATACCATAACGATCTATAAGAAAAGTCAATAAACGATTTACCTATAAATGCATCAATTTCAGTACAAAAAGGAAACAAGACTATTATTCACCAATTTTTGCACAATTTCCTTCGACGAGGTCTCCCAACCCTATTTCTTCCCAAAAAACATTGTCCCATCCGCATGCCTCCATATCACGTGAATCAGATTCCTTCCACTGTTCCATGTGTGCATGTCCAAGATATGTCCATTTGCAGACAGTTGTGCATAAGCTGCGAGTGTCATCACCTGTTGCTCTAAAAAAAAGTACCAGAATAGAGTACGTTATGATAGCAACTCACCAGGGTACAGCAAAATCAAACAAAGGTAGGGATTCACCTATATGCTAACCAGTCACTTAGGTCCATCCACCTACAAACCATAGACCATGACTCTTGTAGATTTTCCTTCATCCATAAGAGCTGCAAATGCACACAGTCAAAACATGACACTAGCAACAGAGATACTTTGATGCAGCATGCCACCAATTGTTTCATCACTTCTCAGTATAGAGTAAATAAAGATCAAATGTGAAGACTATGAATACATGTTCAAAACAATAAAGAAACAACATTAACTAGAGTGAACTTCACAAACCATTATCCATGTGCATCGCTTTCTGAGCAACACATCTGATTCAGCAAATTTAATGTACATAAGTTCATAATATTGATCACATCACAATGGGTATGCTAGTACTCTGACTCACTGAGACATTCAAGCTGAACTAGGATTTCAGGGTAACAAGAAATTATTATCTGATGATCAGCACAGTGGCTGGCATTTCCAGCTACATGCATGAATAGTAGTGTCTATTGTCTACCGATGGTGAACCAGGATGCTAAAAGCTTGCATGGATGCATACCATAAGCATGAAATGTACACAATCTTAGACCCTTACCTTTGGAGCCTGCATTTCTGGGGAAACACCCCCACCACAGTATTGCAGTACTGGCGAATTGGTAGCATTGATTCGCTCCGCCTGGTTCACAGCTCTATGGTCCATCCACACAATGATATTCCTCCTTGTATCACCACTCAAAGAAACCGAGACAGGGGAACCATCAGCATCGACAGCAACTGCATGAAGCATCCTATTTTTGTCAAACTGGAAAAAACTTATAGATAGCACATACATAAAATCCGCCTACTTGAATGTCAACATTTTCTCTCTAGCCTACACAATAAGATGAGAATGCAAGAGGTACTATAGTATCAGAGGCAAACCAAGGGAGCAAGTGGCGGCAAAGCCAAGGCCAGCAACATCCTCAGGGGCAACATTTGCCAGTGAGCACGCAGATTTCACCGCTGCACAGACCGCATGCCAGATATCGGTTGATGATTGCTGAGCATAAAAATAAACTGGTTATGGTAAAACAGTCTTTGCTTCGTGAACTAATCATGCATACATTGCACGTGCAAGAACTGTTATGAACCTCAATACAGTCTCTCTCTTTCCATATCTGTATAGGACTGCTTGCCGACCCCAGCAACTTGCCCTTTTCATCAAAGAGACCTGAAAAATTGACCGAAGAGAGAAAATGTTACAAATTGACTTAGTTACCTATTAGGCCTCCACATGATCTGATATGCGTACAACCCATTTGTACAACTCCTTTACAACAAGGAGATTGGATGGATGAAATCACATGGGTTGGTGGTTCATTTATGAAACAAAGGGTGTTATATAAATTGGTTACATGTAAAGTACTGTATTTTCTTTTAAGATATCAAGCATGTCATGACTGAAAAGAATTCTCTATTCAGGTATCTATACATCTAGCCTAAGCAGGTCTCCAATAAATTGTTTAAAATGACAATCCTAGATTACTCTCGATCAGAGAAACTAACAACAAGCTTTCTCTCAAGAACAACCATTTATTCATCAGTAGACAACCAATAACCTGGAGTCCAAATACCCTAAAAGCGGCAAATTAGTCAGACTTATACATTCAACTTGAGGAAAAGGTAATCATACATACTGATATAATTTAATAAGAAACTGGTGAAAGCTACCAAAATGTATATGAATCCTCAAAACAAAAGGAGGGTACTTCTAAGTAGAGAATCGGAGGATTAACCTGCTTGAAGCGCTGCCAGTACCAACGTCAACGCCAAGGTACACAGAGGCGGCACTGCCGCGGGGCATGGTGGCAGCCACGGGCTTGTGGGATGGCAGCAGCAGCCAAGCAGAGCAGGGGAGCGATCGGAGTTCGTGGCCGAGGGTGTCCACGTGGGTGTGACCTACTGTTCACCGTCAGGAAACATATAAAAAAAGTTAGGGCTTGTTTGACAGGGCTTAGGCCTTAGGGGGACTTCAGCTCTGCTACTGTAGTATGATGTAGCAAGCCAAGAGTCGATACAAAGCCCAAAATATCTGGCTTCATCGGCTCCCGCCTATCCCCCATTTCATTTTGTGTTGCTAGGAACCGGAGCCGTTTCTGTATGCGATATTGGCGAGAGCAGGTGAAATCGAAGACCCCTAAGCTGTATCAAACAAGCCCTTGGTGAACACTAGTGAAGTAGTGAGGGGGTGATCTAATAGAAAAGGGCTCCACAAGTTCAGAGTTCATGGCCATGAATGAACTGTATGAAATTTTACTCCCTAATAGGGCAAAGTTTATAACCATCACGATAGAGTTTTAGAAACCTTTTAGGTTTATATTGGCACATGAAGTATATTTCACAAAAAGGCTCTGGTCGGCTGCCATTCATTAGCAGTGTGAGTGGATCAGCAGCAGTGCAGCAACAGCTGCAGCTGTATGAGTGCAGTCGATCAGGCTGAAACTATTGCTACTGCAAAGTTTCTGAGTTGCTTTGGACCGGTACAAATTTAGTTTCGTTAGTCGCCACACTAACACGACGAAGGAAATAATTGGTCAGGTATTGCAAGTTCAGTGCGGTTTAGCAGCTCGTTTGGGATTAGCGTTTACATACCTTGGGATTGGTCTTGGGAAGTTCAGAGTTGGGGCTGGGGCGCTGGGCGCTGCAGTGCCGCAGCCGTATGTCGTGATTTCGCCACTCCACCTCAGCAGGTACTGCAGCACGCAAACTGGAAGAGAGATTAGAGATTGGGAGAAGAAAGAAGGCGGCCAAGAGAAGTGGTGCAGTGGTGCTCATGCGTGTTCCGCGGAGTTGCGTCCGATCTGGCCGGGCGGCCGGCCGAGGTGGCGCTCGGGGTCGGGGGGAAACGAAGAGGACAGAGGAGGGGAGGTGCTCACCAGGATCGAGATCGCGGGTTGCCACGTCCCCGGGCGACCAGCCGCCGATGGCCCTCCGGGTCGGATGTGGCCGGTTGACTTGAGAACGAGAGCGCTGAACTACTGAACTAGGCCACTCGGGAGAGACAGCAGACAGAGACAGGATAGGAGAGCGGGTTTTTTTAGCTCCTTTGGGCTGGGCCTCTGGTCCTGCGTACGCCGCAGGCCCGCAACTAGCATGACCATGAGCAAATTGTGCTTGGGTGCCCATCAAACACGTTTATTTCTCTCCTTTCAAATCTTCCAGCAGCACACCAGCTGATCTTTGTGTGAATCCGGCTAACATACCACCATGGAGCAGGGATCTGTTATCTGTATCTACGGGCAATTTATCCGCGGCTGAGCCGCCTGATACCAAACCCCTCGCGCAAAGGCAGTCAAGCAGAACCTAGCAAAGTACAGTTTCAGTTCAGAGTCTGTTCATACTTCTGCCAAATTTGTGATCTGTTCATACATCCTGCTGGTCATTTATATATTTTGTTGGAGCACGCAAGTACAGACCAAATATTACTTCAAGAGACACCGATTAGATCTAGTGAGGAAGTAAAGCACTGAAAATTCAAGTAAAAAAGCTGAGGTTATAAGTGTAGCATCAGTTTTGTCCACATGTTCAGCTGTTCAAGATCTACAAAATGCAGAGATATGAAGCTTGGAAGTAAAGCACAAACTGTTTGCTGCTAGCCTGCTACAGCATAGTTCATACCGTGAAGCAGGAATAAGAAGGCTTGGAATGCAAGACCATGAAGCAAGACAGGGCATCAAATCAAATAATACATATACTTAACAGCAATCGTCTGCCTTCAAACATACATAAGTTTGTATTGTTTCTATATGTGATGCAATGCTGCAAACAAAAACTCATAGCTAATATATGCTGCAAACAAAAAGTCATAGCTAATATATGCTGCAAACAAAAGATGACAACAAACAACCTTCCTAGCAAAAACTCAGACTCGTAGCTAATATATGTGATGCGATGCTGCAAAGAAGAGTCTATGTGCACAACAGCACAAGGTACCATCGAGAGAGAAAAAATGGGTGGTTTAAAATACGAGTGTCAAAATCACCAGCTTTGAATCAAGTAACAAACAATAATACAAATTCAAGTAACTGTTTCTTGTATGATTTGATAATCATAAAACAGTTGTCTTATATAAGGTTCATCTATTTCCTTGCATCAGGGTTAGGCATATCTGGAAGCATTTATCTTTTGTTGAAATGAAAGCAGAATATATTGATATACCCTATTTTCTATTAAACCTCAACATTTCTTGATGCATGTTAGTTGCTACCCTTTCTGCTTTCATTCCTCAACAAAAAAAAAGTTACCCTACTGCTTCAGGAGTGCTCTTCCTAGTTGTAAAAACCACTGCACTGATGCAATGGTAACCCCCTTCCAACGGCGGAGCCACGTATTGGCCATAGAAGGCTCCGGCCCCCCCTTGCCCAGTAAAAAAAAATGAGGATATATGCTGCGGGATGGGATCAGAGCATGGACAAGCCCTTAAGGGTAGTTAGGCGTAGGATTCTAATAAACATAGACTAATAAACTTCCTAGTTATGCCTCGCGACTCGATGGCTTGTGTGACCTGGGCACAACTGAGTCCTTGCCACCGAGTTACCCTGGGAGACTCGTGGCGCATGGAGTCCTCGCCCCAAGGCTTAGTGTCCGCCAATTTAGTGCGCCTTGTTTCTTATGACCTTTCGGGGATTTGAAATATGTGTCGTTATACCTCTGGCTGAGGTACGTACGTACCCTTACTCAGGTATTGGTCACTCCTCTTCCGTACAAAAAAAATAGTTTAGCTTTTTGTGGTGTTTGCTACAGCTTCTCGCCACTTCTGCTACCGGAGCCGTGTCAAATAGCCCGTTAGCCCGCGGTTAGAAGCACGGACGGAGCTATGTGGGGCCAAACTGGGTCCTGGCCTCTCTTGTTCTGGCTGTATCACTCTGGAGGTTTGCATGTCACTGCATGCATGTAATTAATTCCTGCATCTCTCATACCATGTTTGATGTTGCTGATAAGTGGATCACAGCTTACAAATATGTAAATCCGCACATTGTTCATTCTTCTTTGACAGAATTCCAATTGTTCATTGCAGTCTATATAGATAGAACTTGAAAAAACAAAGATTTTTCACAGAATTCCAATTGTCTATACTACTATTGGTAATTACTGCAGCAGCGTAGCTTTGAATTGGCTCCCCCTACACATTCATGCAAGTTCCGCCACTGCCCCTTCCTATAGGTTCTACTAGACAAACATGGGCTCCTATATCTACACTAGAAAAAGAAAAGTTCGGCATACAAATTCATGTTCATTTCACTTGGTTCAATGCCTGGATATAGGGAATGCATGACCAAATTAATCAACCTGCATTGCGCAAAATAACTGCACATAGACAAGGTTGGAAAATCAAAAGCAGTAAGCAGTGCTGCCACAAGTAAAAAAACTACTCTAGCAGAAACGATAAAGATCATCAGCTTAATGTGCGACTGGACACATTCGATGGCACCAGCTTCCTGCCAGAACTTGAAGTTGAGCTTGCCAGTGGGCTCATCAGTTTTGCTGGACTGTAAATTGGTTAAAACAGCACAAACTTCAGCTCTAGACGGACACGGAATCAATATTTATTAGATGATGACAGTGTGCAAAGATAGAAATTAATGCGGAATTAAGTGAGGGGTTTTCACCTCAAGATGCAACCTGTCAAGGTTGGGAAAACATCTGAGGAAGCTCGGCAACATCTTGGCATTGTTGCGGACTGAAAAGCACACCCTTAAGCTGAGGGTCTTGACACTTGGCACCATGGTGTTCGGACTGGCCCTTGTCCCAGCCTGCAGTGAAGCAAATTTGGTGAGTCAAGTTCACAACTTGACATTAAATTTGACAATTGGGAACTTCACAGTGCAGGATGCACCTTGATAACTGTGTTGCCGATTTATAGCACGTGCCATTTCGGGTCCAAATAGCCAAATGTCCTTAAGGCAGGGGCATGGCCAATCTTGACCCTCCTTGGCAAGCCGTCACGGGCCGATGATGGCCAGATGATGAGTCTCTCGAGCTGCGGAGCGCTCTCCACGGCTATTTCTAGTTCCATGCCTTCGATGATCTGCACGCACCGGAGGCTGCGGCTGACCAGACAGAGGCGCCTCAGCAAAATATTAGCTTGGATGCATAGGAACCTCAGCACGGGGCTCTTGGCAAGGACAAAGTCCATGTCCTGGTTCTCAATGCCCATACAGGAGAGGCCGAGTTCAACGAGGTGCGGGAATGCCACGGCGCGCGGTAGGTCGGCCGTGTCAGGGAAATACCAGAGGCCGAGGTAGAGGCGGGTGAGCGTCGCCATGCCGAAGAACGTAGCGGGGAGGTCCATGTTGAGCGGCCACGGGCGGTTGACGAGGACGAGTTCTCGGACGACCCTGACGGCGAGGGTCTGGAGCCAGCGCGCGAGCAGGCCCAGGAACGCCTCCATGTGGCTGCTGGTGAGGTGGACGTGGCGGAAGGGCCCCGGGTGCGCGGCGAGGACGCGGGAGACGGCGGAGGCGACGCCCCGCCCGTCGGCGCGCGCGACCTGGAGCGGGGCGGCGTCGCCTCCGGGAGGGAAGAGGTGGGCGTCGACGAGGACAAGCGGCGTCGAGTGCCAGACGCTTCGCCAGCGGCAGGAGAGCGCGGTGGTGCGCGCGGCGTCCTTGATGGGGAGGCGGGAGACGATGTCACGGAGGAGCGCGTCCGGAAGGCCGCTGATGCGGTCGGCGCCGTCGAGGGCGGGAAGCGCGGAGAAGGTGGCGTGGTGGGAGACGAGCTGCTCGGGGAGGGCATAGTGGACGAGGGAGAGCGCGGTGCGCGTGTCGTCTTCCAGAACCTGCGGGTTCAAGTTCATGCCCCGGTCCCGCCACAGGGCCACAGTCGGGCGGTCCATGGGGACGGGCGGAACCCGGATTTCCATGGCCGCTGTCGCCGCCGGCGAGGGTTTTGGAATTTGGGGGTGACTGAGCCGGGGAATTGGTAGAGTTTGTTCGGGATGGAGACAGGTGTTGTCGTGTGCGTGCGAAGCGAGTGAGCAACCCCGGTCGAGTGGGCTAGGCCACAGCCCACGTGTCAGAGAAAGATGTATACACGTCATTGTTCACCCTACAGTTATTACAGATCTGAAAACACAGATAAGAAAATGTCGAAAGTGCTGTTTGAAATTTTGTTTTGAGCACTAGTGAACACATTTTTTGCTCATAGCGTATTTAAAATTAGTCTACAGGTCGACAGTACGTCCTTCTTGTGAAGGATAAAGATCTGTTAACTGTTGTGATTTGAGTGAATAATCGATAGTCAAGTTTGTTTGTTCACAATGGCATCGTCACGTAAATTTTGTTGGTGTTGGTGTTGTAAATTAACTCTGTTGATAAAATAATGAGATACTAGTCCGTTATACTCCGTATATCTAGATACATAGCAAATTTAAATTCAATGTAACAAAAAAAAATCAAAGCGACTTATAATTTGGAACGGGCGGAGTAATAAAGTATTATGTTTTCTTTAATTACCACAATAACTATACTCGGGGTGGAGTGGAGTACTGAAGCTAATCAGCTTTGTGTGCATCTATTATCTTAGTTTGACTGTATTTTTTGTGTGTTTGCGGGTAGTGGTATGTGGCAAACAATAGAAGCCACTGGTAGGGAAACTAATCAGAAAAAAGTTACGCCGTTAAATTTTATGATGATCTAACAACTTAGATAAAATCAAAGTTGATATGCCTAATACAATCATTAGATTAATAAAAAACGAAAATAATCTACACTGATGGATTTTTATGATGATATAACAGCTTAGATTAAACCAAAAATCTAGGCTAATACAATTATGTATCAATCGGAAAGAGAGAGAGAAGCATACATCGTCAAATTATGATAATTTAATGGCTTATATTAAATCAAAGAGCCCATGTCTAATAAAAATATGAGACAAAACAAGAAAAAGAAAAGAATCTACACCATCTAATTTTATGATGATCTAACGACTTAGATTAATATAAAAGAGTCCATACCTAATACAATTAATAGGTACTCCCTTCATTCCAAATTATAAGTCATTCTATCTTTTCTAGGTCCCATGCATAGATATACATTATGTCTAGATACAGTAAAAACTATATATATGATATATGTAGAAAAATCATAACGACTTACAATTTAGAAAGAAAAGAGTAATAAATTAAAAATAATGAATAAAACAAGAAAAAATAACAACAATTTGATTTTCATACGAGTTGGAAAGAGAAATATAGATTCCATTTAAAGCACAATTGTTTAAGGCAAAACAAAATTAATAAAAACTATGAAAAGTTAATAGTTTGGTCTCCAAATGAATGCAAAGAAAAAAAAGATATGGGAAGAAAGCACAATGCATCTTTGCCGGGCTCCAACACGCGCTAACGTGATCGACAATGTATGATCAATATATTGGTTCAGGTCTCAGTTATGATATATAGCATTTACGTGCTCCTTTCGCCAAAAAAATTGATGAAATATTTCGCAAAAAATTGAAAACTAAAATAATATATAGTGCCGGTGCGGCCAAGCCGTGGTCGTGAGAGTAATCATGCCATGGAATGGACGCAGCGCGATTGCTCGATCAGGTGCGTGAATGCGTGATATGCGTGCGATTTAGACTAAAACTAAACACTCTGAAATGAAATTCGAAAGGCGAGGCAGGACGAGTCATGAGTATACTCTGCTCTGTCATGGCTAGGGCATAGTCATGGCCCTTGTCCAGCAAAAAAGTTGACGTGTTTGGTGAGCTGCCTCGCCGTCGCCGTGTATAAATGGCGCCCTCGGCGATCACTCTCCGAGCTAATTAAGCCATAGTGAGCAAGGGAATTAACTAAGTGAGCTCAGATAGCCGTCACGCACGCCCACACCGTTCTTGCTAGCACTACAGCTCCAGCTCCATTGGTAACCTCGTAGGTTGCCAGGCAGGATATATAGCATAAAAACAGCAGCTACACGTACGTACGCTTGATGGCCAGCTTCGCTGCTCAGCTCAAGGACAGGTTCCTCGGCCTCGTCGACCGCGTCACCGGCTGGGGCGGCTGCGGCACCGGCGCCGGCAGAGACAAGGATGTGCCAGAGGCCACCAACGTGCCAAATGTCCAGCAGGTCCTGCTCCAGAATCATCTCGCCTCCCAGTTTCTTGTCGATTGTTATTGGTACAAAAGGTTTTGCTTAGGTTACTGACGTAGTACGTGCCCCATGTGTTTGTGATTTCTGCACTTACAGCCCGTTGAGATCAGGTCGAGAGACCCCGTTGTAGGCGGAGGATCAGTGGCTGGGGCCAATTGATTGATACTGCCAAACAAGCTCGAGATTGCTACGCTTGCTGGTGTTCCGTATTCCAATTGAAGTTTTTCCCCCCCTCAAAGGCAGTTCGTTCCAAAACCGCTTAATGTGTGGGCAGTGTTATTATTGATTGATTTCTCCTTTCTGATTGTAACTAAACCTTGTGAATGTTTTCCTTTTTTTTCCTTTCTTATTTTGCTTCTTTTGGTGTTACCATTGTAATTCCGAGTGTGTGTTAGTCTGTTGTTATCTTGCTATCTCCGAGTACATAAAAAGTAATGATTTGACTAATATATTTCTATTCTTGAACTGAGCGGGCTGGAAATGAACCCGAAGGAATGGACATACTCATTCACAAAAAACAAAAAAAAAAGAATGGACGTACTCATGTAGGCATCATGTAGGCAAGGCGAAAAGATGCAAACTGATAGGAAAGAAGAAAAAAGGAAAACATAACAGTTCGAGATAAAAACGTTCAAAAAAGATAGCAATATCCACCAGGGGAATGTCATAACTGGTAAAAAAAACTCCACAGGTAAAATAGTCTTTTCTCCTAGGACTTAATACCGTTACAACTCCAAACTAAAGGAAATGTTAAATAGAAAAGAAAAACTTGAGACAAGAACAGATATGAAAGGATTTGAGTTTGGGTGTCAGAAGCAGCATTTTTTCGTTTTCAAATAGGAAATTTTCTCAATATATTTACATCCTTGAGCTGAGCTACTCGTTGAATTTTGTTCATCCGAGTTGAGTATATTAAATAAAGATGTGTGCTTGTATTTTTTTATGGTCAGTGTTTCCCTATTATATTTAATGGTAGATGACGTCTCCTTGATGATGACTCCACTCATCCTGGATAAGGTGTGCGTGATCATTCGCAGAGAAAAGGTGTGCGTGATCATCATCAATCGTGCTCGTGCACCATGCCTAAGCAACAAGCAAAGGATCTCGTCTTTCGGAGCGGGAAAATGAAACCGATTGAGGGGAGGTTTTATCACAGCCTATTGAAATTGGTTTTGGGCCTTGTGATCCGGTAGGGGATACGTGGGCCTAGAGGAGGTCAATAAAATTGAACAGTAGGTTATATGTGCTTTGCTAAAAAAAAAACTCCAACTCTCTACATCCTTCCTTATTTATTGATAGAAATAGAAATTTTGACCAAAGTATACACAAGAGCTTCTCTAATTTAGATCTTCAAATATTGTCATTCGCTTTTCCGGATTTCTCGTTAGCCAAATATAGAAAGCGAGATTAGCTTTCTAGAATGCACACATGATATAGAAAAGCCATTGGAGGATAAAAAGACATAGAGACCAATTTTCATTTACCTGGCGGAGTTGCCTCGCCTGTTGGATTAATTGGGCTTATCCTATAACTAGTCAGCAATTAATCAAAAAATTCCAAAGGCCCAAAATAAATACTAAACGGGAGTAACATTAGTACCACATAGTACACTTACTAGTATACTTGGCCAAACATTAGTCAGAGAGTGATGTGGAAGAATACGTATTAGTCAGAGAGTGATCAGGGCGTCGACGTCGGTCGAGTGTTGGATTAGAACTTAGACTAATAGGATCTTATCTTAGTCTAAACATGATCACTAACTAAATCTTATGTGGAAATTAATCTGATACTAATCAGAGTTTGTAGATGCCATCTGAGTGCCTCCGTAGACGTAGAAAAGTTGATGTAGATGAAGTAAATCTTAGTCTTCACCAGATTGAGGCTTGATGCTCCTAGTTGGTTAAGAACGCGATGTAGATCTGCAACAGTACCTGGATGTGGGTAGACGGCCTTCCTAAACTCTACAGCGTCTAATCGATCGGTTATATGAATAGTCACGTGGATTAGAGAGCTTGTGACACTAGAGACGCCTCTCTTATTTATAATCGCGTTGTGGGGTCAGGGGCCTAACCCTTAGAATTTTAAGGGTTGTCGCCGATCACGGTAGTTCTTATTTAGTTAGAAATAAATGACGAGTAGGTGAAAGCTCTAGTTTGGTTTTAGTTAATTGATGAAACCCTAAGTGCTAACCTAGTTTATCAAAGTGATTATGAGATAGGTAGCACTACTCCAAGTGATGAAGCAATGGTGAAGATTATGATGATGGTGATGGCATGATGATGATCAAATGCTTAAACTTGGAAAAGAAGAAAGAGAAAAAACTAAAGCCTCAAGGCAAAGGTATAAATAGTAGGAGCCATTTTGTTTTAATGATCAAGACACTTAGTGAGTGTGATCACATTTAGGATTGATAGTCGTACTATTAAGAGGAGTGAAACTCATATTGAAATACGGTTATCAAAGTGCCACTAGATGCTCTAACTCATTGCATATGCATTTAGGATCTAGTGGAGTGCTAACACCCTTGAAAATGTTTGTGAAAATAAGCTAACACATGTGCACAAGGTGATACACTTGGTGGTTGGCACATTTGAGCAAGGGTTAGGAACTTCACCGGTGGAGTGTCCGCTCGTAGAGTGCGAATAGTCCGACGGTGCCACCGACGCCCTATACAAAAAAGACAGGGGTTCACAGAGTGATCGGACGCTGGTGGTGCAGTGACCGGACGCTGGGTTCAGAGTCCGGTCAGTAACAGCAGTAAGCACACGGTCTCGGTCTTGTGACCGGACGTTGGCGTATAAATTGGCCAGACGCTCATGGTCTGAGTCCGGTTAGTGCTGACGTACGCTGACGTGAGGCGCACAGAGGAAACATTGAGTGACCGGACACCAGGTGAGTCCGGTCGAGCATGACCGGACGCGTCCGGTCGTGAAATTTCGCGTTTGGAACCTTACTGGAAACGACCGGATGCTAAGGTCCAGTGTTCGGTCACTTCGCAGCAGTACGTCCGGTCATCAGTTGACCGTTGAGATTGGGCGGCTCTGGTTGAACGCAGAGGGACACGTGGCATGCATTGCGTGACCGGGCGCTGGGGTCCAGCGTCCGGTCGATTTGACCGGAGCGTCCGGTCACCCCGTGTTGTGCCCAGTGAAGGGGTACAACGGCTCTATTTCGTGGGGGGCTTCTATTTAAGCCCCATGGTCGGGTCAAGCTCACTCTCTTAGCCATTTGCATTGACATAGCAACCTTGTGAGTTTAACCAAAGCCCTCTCACTCATCTTCATAATTGATTCATCATCTTTGTGAGATTGAGAGAGAATCCAAGTGCATTGCTTGAGTGATTGCATCTAGTGGCACTTGGCATTCGTGTTTCGCTACGGGATTCACTTGTTACTCTTGGTGGTTGCCGCCACCTAGACGGCTTGGAGCAGCGAGGATCGTTGAACGGAGGTTGGTGATCGTCTCCGGCTCCGATCATGGTGATTGTGAGGGGTCTTGTGCCTTCTCCGGCGGAGAGCCGAAAGGTAACTCTAGTGGATTGCTCGTGTTATTAAGTTACCTCACTTGTGGGTAGGTTCTTGCGGTGTCTAATTCTATGGACGAGGTTCGTGCAACACCTCTTAGCCGCTGAACCACCAAGTGTTGGTCGACACAACGGGGACTAGCGTGCCGGCAAGCACGTGAACCTCGGGAGAAAAATTTGTTGTCTCTTGCCCTTTGGTATTTTTCCGGTGATTGATTTAGTATTCATCTTGTGATTGGTTCACTCCTCTACACGGCGGTATAATCACCCTACTCACTCATTTATATTCTTGCAAACTAGTTATTACAAGCTCTTTAGTGTAATTAGAATTGAGAGCTTACTTTGTTATTTTAAGTTCATCTAGTGGAGCTCTTTAGAGTAGCAAGATTGAGAGCTCTTAGTGAGTAGTAACATTGCAAGTTGTGTGCCTAATAATCATTGCAACTAGAATTGTTGGATAGGTGGCTTGCAACCCTTGTAGAGCTAGAGCAAGTTTGCATTTCGCTATTTATCATACTAATCAAATCGATCTAGTTAATTTGTAGATTTTTAAATAGGCTATTCACCCCCCTCTAGCCATATTAGGACCTTTCAGTAGGTGGACCAAAAGCTTAACGCTTAATTAATCTCGTAACTAAGTTCAGGATTAGCCGAACCGATCACATTCAAACATTCTCCCACTAGATCGAACGACTAATGCAATTATACAACTAATGTTCGTTTTACACTTATGTTCACACTAAGTACTACAGCAAGACCAGAGCAATGCGTCGTCAGCAGCATTAATCGCCACTGGAACCCCATTACCCATAGTTCACTGTAATACCTTGTTAAGACGCTTATTACTTATTGGGAGTACATGGCCCTATTACCAGGAATCAAGTCAAAGACTACACTAAAACCCAAATTGATTTGCGCGCTCATAAATAGGTAAGTGTTAAGACTCAAATAGTCAAATATGCTAGCATTAGCTTAGTTCTTATTTTTCTCAAGCTTAATAATCTAATCCTGGGTTCTTTCTTTCACAACATTTAATCAATGTGCTTGGCATCATCATTTAAGGTGTTGTTACTCGAAATAATATTGCAACTCAACTATAGGCCTATAACAGTATGTCAATACTCAATATTGGGATAATATCTCTTAAACCACATAGCCTATCGTATTCATGCCACTAATTAAGCTCATCTTAATACTAATTATATTTTGAGCTTTCAATAAAGTTGTCCTTTTCTCCAAGAGTAGGTATAATCTAATTGTGTACTTTCTTATACATACTCAAGAGAATTGGCAAATAATTCTTAATTCTTGTAAGTGACATGATGACTCTTTTGGTGCCTCATCAATATCTTAATTCTTTAGCACCTTCCAGTGGACCTATTCTGGATTAATAAACTAATATTTTGCCAAGTATTCCAATGCCAAGTCTAGACTAGTATTGACTTTGAGCATTCTTAAAGTTAATGACAGTCGAAGCATATGGAACATCTTTCTCTTCAACTGTTACTAACTTATTCTTAGAATTATTTGGATAATTAATCTTACTGCGTTGTGCAATTGCACTATGCAAATAGACAGACGTGACATTACTTATTCAAACTCTATCACTAAGCATTTATTTGATACGCCTTTTGTGATAGTCCTAGTACTCAATTGGTCCTGTATCGGTGTATTTTAATAGCCAAAAACTCAGAGGCTTCACCAAAATATATCATATTAAAAATTTTGGTGAGTAGAAAACTCTTGTGTGACATTCCTATTGCCACTTAACTCAACTTCACCCATGTAGAGTATTAGGACAATAAACTTTTCCACCCTTTTTTATAAATATAATTGTCCACTTAATGAAATTCTAAACTATAGTAGGCTATGTTCTTAGTTTAAATCTTTTAAAACTTCCTTTGAAGTGACGCTAAGAATTGTAGACCCTTTTATAGCCTACTGGTTTGACTTCATTAGGAAACTTATTAACACCCACACTTTATATATACTTATGGACCTAAGCTCATAACATTACTTAGTTTAGAATAACAAAATTCCTCTTTTGATGTAATCATCTTATAGATTTATCATGGATCACAAGCAGATTAATAACAATAGAGGTTTACTTATGTGTCTACTTATCAACTAATGGTTGCTATATATATCTGTTGTGGCTTACTAATTGACTCTTAAAAATCCACAATAGAAATTGTAATAATTTAAATGGCGGTATACTAATAACTTATGGCACAAACTGAGATATTTATGTCTTCTTGAGTCATTGATACAGAAAATCATATTTCTCCAATATTTAATCTTCCTTCTTTGTGAACTCCCACTAACTCTTACTAATTTTTGCATTCTCTAGGAACACATCATATTATAATAACTTAGTAAAACAATTATAACAGTAGAAACGCAATTCCTTGGACTTTACTCCCACTGATTTCTGTGTTCTCTAGGAACATAATCAGTGTGCCATGTGGATAGCTCATTTACTTAGAATCTCATTTCTTATCCTTAGCTTGACGGTACTTAAGTCTTGCTAAGGTTTTGCCTAGTAAAACTTTTATGATCAAATATTCATCAATCAGCGTTGGCCAGAATGACAAACATATGGCATATAAGTCTCCAAAAACAAGCTTTATGAACTAGTCTAATCAGCGTTGGCCAGAATAAACTAGAACAAGAAACTTGGTGGACAGGCAAACACCAATCAGCTTTGGCCAGAAATAGTGAAAGCAAGCCATACTTTAATTAGAGACTAATGTTGGGCCGAGGGACAAAATTAGTATAATTTCCTTATTGTTATTTCTCAAGTCCCATGCTTTCTTATTTTAATAGAGTATATCTTTCCTGATGAGATAGTCCATTCTCTCCTTTGAAATGTGGCTTAACTGTAGTGACACAATTTCGACAAGGTCTCATCACCTGACTAATGATTAACTTAAAGATAATTGTCGATGTTTTCGGACCATCGACGAGTAAATTTGTATTTGCACGTCTGGCCCGAATGGTGTGCTCGGAGGACACAAGGGTTTATACTGATTCAGGCGGAACGTCCCTACGTCTAGTTCGCTGCTGCTCGTGTTACCGACACTTGATTTGCAGTAGGGGTTACAAACAAGCAAGAGAGGGAGAGGATCCCAAGTCTCTGGTGGAAGGAGTGAATGGGTGCTGAGAGCTCGCTTGCCGCTCAGCCATGTGCTCGTGTCGTGCTCTTATGTTCTGATCTCGTGTCGCTTGCTGAGAGAGCCCTGCTTCACCTTTTATAGACGAAGGGAAAGCACGGGTTACAGAGGAGGAAAAGTAGAAGAACGAGAGAGAGAAGAAGGCTTCCAGGGTTGCCGGGTCCTTCTTCTCCTTCACATGGGTCCCGCTTATCCTGTAGATGTGAACAGAGATGGCTCCATGTCATGGCCTTGTTCGTCACTGGCGCCCCACGCTGTGTCATCTGTTAGTCATGTCGTTCCACTCCGTCCTGGCGGACATCGTGGTGAACTGATGCGTCTGTCAGCGTCTGTACGAGGATTAGATAGAACAGCACCGGCACGTCCGACACTGTTCTTGATGTGAATCCCTTGGTATGGCCTGTCATGGCTACGGGTTACATTGAGGCGTGTCAGCCTTCTCCCTGGCGTTAGAGTTTTGACCCAGGCCCATACGCTTGGACCTAGAGTGGTTGGCGGCAGTATGGGTCCCCATCGGACGAGATGGAACCCACATCCTCGAGGTTGGGCGAGACAGAGCCCGCACCCAAGGGGTTGGGCGGGATGGAGCCCGCGTCCTTGAGGCCAGGCAAGATGGAGCCCGAGGTCGGGCGAGACGGAAACCGTGTCCTTGGGGTATGGCAAGACGCTACACCCAAGGGGTCGGGTGAGAGGGAGCCCGCGGCCTTGGGGTCGGGCGAGATGGAGCCTGAGGTCGGGCACGATGGAAACCACGTCCTTGGGGTCGGGCAAGACGGAGTCCGCACCCAAGGGGTTGGGCGAGACGGAGCCCGCGACCGTGCGAGTTGGAAACCGCGTCCTTGGAGTCGGGCGAGACGGGGCCTGCACCCAAAGGGTCAGGCGAGACCTTTTAATACGTCTCGAGCCATCCAAGGAAGTCAGTGTAGGCGCTAACTTCCTTACTTTGTGTATCCCTAATATCGATACCTGACAATAATAACATAAAGAAACTCATATCACAGAAAATAAATCTCTGCTAATTAATAAGATAAATCATAATGGAATAAATTTGATGTATTCATAAACTCCAAACTCAAGAACATTTGTTCAAAATATAAAGTATCTCATACTAAGATGACATAAGAATCATTAAGAACTAAGTTTAAAACTAATCTAATGCGAAGTTGCAAGGCTCGACTTCATCTTTATTCCATCAATAGCTCGTTAGACTTTGCTGTCCTTGCTCCCCTGGTTTGGCAAGACCTAAGGAGAAGTTAAGATATGCACTATTGCACCTTAGTTAATCCACCATATGTTGGGGAAATATCTTAAGTAAAACTTATGAGACAACTTAAGTTACCTGTCTTTCGAAGCCATTCTTATACTTATCATCAATTTGGTAACTTGCAAAATTTGCTGGCCGTTGGAAACTTATCATTTTGAGCATGTTTGGTATGGTTTTCTAGCATAGAACTCATAAGGCAATTTACCATAAACTCATCAGACACATGTAATCTAAGTGCCTTCAATTCATAAGCCATATCAAACAAGCTTTTAACGTGGTTACCTAGGTCACTTATCCCATCATAATAGGAATTAAATAAGTTATCAAAGAGAAAAACCTTTCTAAAATATACTTTTATGGAGTTGTGAAGCTCCTTAGCACGTAATTCCCTGTTATCCTTTTCAGTAGAGAAAAAACTCCTCATATCAAAAGAGATTGAGTATCTTATGATCATTTTTACAATCCAATCTGAGTTCTCCCATTTTTCTAATTTAGGAGTGTACTCCTTCATCCTCTCAATATAGTAATCATAAATAGGAGAAGGAGCATGTGATTTTTCCTTATTAAGCGCATAATCAAGGTCCATCTCCTTAAGAATGGCATGCACCTGATTATTTCAAGTAGAAAAATTAGTGCAACTTAGGAGTTCTATGGTACTTATATAGTCTACATAATTTACTGAAAAAAATTTGAAGCAAAATAATATCTCAATTAGTAAGCTGTACATAAGATGTACTTAAAGCATGAAGTTAAAACAATGTTGGTCAGTATTAACAGCATGCAGAAGACCTTTAATTTGCATCACCGTTGGGCATAAACAAACCAAAATTTATCTTAAATAACTCATAATTAAAGTCAACGTTGGTCAGAAATTAATTATGAGTAATCTCTAGTTAAACTTCTCATTGGTTCCATTCAACCAGAGACCATCCTATTATATAGTGGTGGATATAATGTATATATAAATATAAATACTTATTATCAAATGCAAAATTAATGCAAAACATAATCTTAGAGCATCAATATAACACATAATAATGCTCAAGAAAACATAGAATTAATACTGGAACTAAAACTAAAAACTCAAACTTAAAACTTATTTAAATAGTGCATAAAACTAAGTAAGTAAAATGCTCTAAAGAAAAAATTCTTAAACTTAAATATTCTCAACAACATATTCCCAAAAACATACTTAGATTAATTTAAAGATTACAAAATAGAATGGATAATAAACTTTATATGAAATAGGAATAAATATCATCATGAGGGCATTAAACTTATATATATAGTTGCAAAGAAAGAACTAAAAGAACTGAACATAAATGAATGGTAATTCTTAGGAAAAGTGTTCCAGGTAAACTTGAATACCCCAAAACTCATTAAATAAAACAAAAATAAACTTATTAGTAGTTGGGGAATGAACATAATTATTTGGGAAATAAACTTAATGTGTAGGCCTATGCATATAATGAAACTCAATTCGGCCACATTGAATTAGCCATCACGTGGTCAGCTGCCGGACCGTTTCATGCTCGCCTATACATCAATAGGCCGGCTAACGGCTCATTCTCCTTCCACCTAATGCGCGAGTTGTGTGATCCGTTGGATAGATAGATCAACGGCTGGAAGATGCCAAAGGCAAACGACGATCACATACTTAAGCCACTCTGAAAAACCCAGCCGCATGCCTCACTCTCTTCTTCATTTCACTCCCCTTGTTCCAGCTAGCTCTCCTACTCGGTTGCTGCTCTAAAATAGAGCGCCGCTCCTACTCGAAGCCACAGGCACCACGGCACTCGGCTCGCCGGCGCGTGCGTGCGGCAGGGCCGTGCGTAGCTCTATCGAGCTCTGTAGCCGGGTGCCCTCATGTGGCGTGGCAACGGCAACCCAAAACCGGCTAAGCAACGGTGCGATGCGCGCTAGGCGTGGCACCTGTGCGGGCAGGCGCAAGCGCTAGTGCCCCTTAAGGCCGCAGCGACGGTAGCGCTCCTGAAGCCCGACAAATCAACGCAGCAGCGCTGTGAGACCAGCGTGGCGGTGGCTGCTACCCGAGGCCCTCACACTCACAACGTAGGCCAGCGGGGCCCTTAAGCCACCATGGCGGCATCGGTGACCCAGCCAACAGCATAGGTACGATCCACACGCACGCACGGCTAGGGGCGGCACAGCCGGCAGCGGCAACCCGACCTACAATGCCAGGTACAAGCCACGCGGGTGCACGCTCCATATCTGATCTTAGGGTTAGTGTTCCTAATTTGGGGAAAGAATTTTTGGGGATTTTGTTTATCGCTGCTGATTTGATTCAATCCCCTCCTAAATGCTTTCGTCGCTGTCCTCCAGTATTGTAATCTTTCCATTGTATTTCGTCCGTAGTTGTTGAAATCGTCTGGTCGTAGGGAAGGTGAAGATGTGTCGAGAATGGGAGAGTGAGTGCCTATATATTGTACTGGCGTAAGGACATTTGGAATGTGTATTTTATTTATTTCATTGTGTTTATTGTGTCCATCTACCCTTAGGTCTCGTTAGACGTGCTTAGGGTTTTCAAGGACGACGTTAAGTGGGTTACAAGAGAAGTTACTATTCAGGTGCGAGTAGACCAGCCATGATTGGATAACAGAGGGCATTGTATCAACTAATTATGGATATCCCAACATAATATTTGAATCTCTTTAAATTAAATCTATTGTGAAATTTGAATTCCTTGTCCCTTGTTGCGAAAGGAACCCTTGTTGTCTGAATCTTCCCTTGCAATACTCCTCTGATTCTATGGTCTATGACCCCACCGTCTTCATTGCGTGTAAGTGGTAATAGTTGCCTGGTTAATAGCTTATGGTGCCATGATGAAACCGAGGGCCCCTATGGAACAGCTGCCACATGGTGACGCTGCTCGGCACACGCTGGTATCGAGGTTGTTGACCAAGCACCTGTAGCAGAACCGCCTAATCTAATACCTCATAGGAGTGCTTGTCTTCCATTAGACACTAAGCACTCAAGGGAGAACACTAAATTACTCGGTTCCATCGGACACACCCCATGGGAGAACCCGAAAATCCACATTTTTTGCCATCAGGATCACAAATGAGAGAACTAAGCTTACATCATTCTTAACCATTTCATACATCCCTTTTAGTACAACATCAGAGTATAATAGTTATTGTATAACAGCGGAATGTAATCATATTATCAGAGTTATAAATAATTTAATGTACAACGGAATTTAAACATGTGATCAGAATTATAGTAGAAATAAACATCTATTAATGATATGATGAAGTATTTGATATATAAACTACTACAACAGATTATGAAACTTTCATAAAAACATTTGGTGAGAGTTATAAATAAAAACTACGATCATGACGTAAAGGAATCCTCATTGAGCCCACCGGGAGGAATCCACACACAAGGGTCGACTCTAGCATCAACTTTGTCACCGCAATGGGAATAAAACCCCTGAGTACTCAATTGTACTCAAAGAAGACTTACCCGACAGGAGGAAAGAAAAGACTCCAAGGATATGCAAGGCTATCTGGCTTGTGGGTTGCATTTGCGGAAGCATTACTAAGCGTGCGTCCTTATTTTTGATTTTTATTAATAGCCGCATTGGTTCATTAACTAACCATTCTATGTAAGCACCATGCTATTTTCAAGCGGTGGTAAAGCAATCAGATTTCCTTTTCCATCTTTCATCTTTCATCTTCGATTCTTACTACGATGTTAAACCGCAGACAAGCCGTCTTCGGATAGCCCGGCGATTCATGAATCAATGCCCCACTGGGTACCCGAAAACACACGCCCGCTTGTACCCCGTGCACAAGCAGGACCAACCCATCACTCTCTGTCCCGGGTGTTCAGGTCCCGTCAAACTGGGACTCAAGCCCCGCCCCAGAGTCCCGGACTCGATCTTGTGCAAGGACCTCCTCCACCAAAACAAACCATAACGATCGGTCCGAAAAGAGCCGGATCCATGACAAAGAGAGCAACAAGTCTTCCAAGCGCCCATACACAAGTATGTGCTCGGGATAATAAGTCTGTGACCTGCCTAGAGTCATATGCAACGATCGGTCCTTAACCGACCAGACAGGGAAAAATAGTGTAACCAAGCTATGCCCCGTGTCCACGGCGACACAACTCCTTACACTCACCAATACCCAAACCATATCCCTGCCCGGTCACCATTTTTCTTTCCACCATTTTGATATTTTTCAAGTGATAGTAATCCAATAATATATTTCATATATCTCACGAGTGACAGGCAATCACTCGACTTCTACCGGAGTCCTGTAGCATAGCATTCTACACGATCCTGTCATATTAGTAAGACTCATAGGATAAAGATATATATGCAAGTAGGTTTCATTCAACTCCTTAAAACTTAATGCACAAATATAATTTAAACTGCAGAAAAGTAGAGGTTATGCACCGGGGCTTGCCTTGGTAAAATATAACCAAAAGTTAGCATTCCATCTTCGTGATATGATCACCATAGCATCATCTTTCAGCTACTCCAGTTGATACCATCGATCCACCATCGTTCCTATTATGATATGTATTGATGCAAATGCATAGATGTAAATAATCAACGATAGCCGAAATTCTTAGAAATCCAATCACGCTTCCAAAAGTACCATTTCTCCAGCAACTCCCGATGACTCCACAATCCATCGACGTCCCTCCGTCGACGTCGAACTCGCGGTACTCGGCAAACAGACACAATTAAATATTCACATAAATTCAACTGCGTTCCAAAAATTATGAAACTTTATGGATAGGTGGGGTTCGATTTTAGATGAATTTAGGAAGAAGTGATGGAATCGGAGTTAGCATAGTGGAGATATTAATTGTGCAAGGTGGCCGCTAATTAATCACGAGGAGAGAAAATGAAACGTGATTAGTGGCCACCAGCTGCCGCTGGTTATTAGAAAGGGAAAAGGAATAAAAAAAATTGGTGGAGTGGATTAATGGCTCATGACTCTTGACTTTACGTGTATAGGAGCTGAGTTGGTTCTCGGCTTTGCTACTGGCACATGGCATAGGACAAGCTGCTGCTGTGGACTTAAACAAAGAGCAGAGCGGGTATACGGCTAGGATTCTTCAAGAGAGACACAGAGAGCACCGGGCGTTTGTGCTCCTCAGCTCGTCCACCATGGACAGCTGCTGGACTTTCGCCTGATGGCGATTCTGGCCATGACTTCCAAATCTAAGGGCATGGGGAGGTAGAAGGGAGGTAGGGGATGTATGGGGACTATCTACCTTGGTCAATTGCAGCTTGAGGAAGGAGATCAACAGAGCGTAGCCTTCCCAGGCAAGAACAGAGAAACTCGATTTAGAGAGTAAGATGGTGAGCGGCGGAGTGGGATGTCTCGGCAGGCTTGGCGTGTCCTTTATAGGCAGGAGATGCGAAGGCGCGACAGCGACGCGTCGTAAGGTTAGCGGCTAACTAGCTTGCTTAAAGGTAATAAAACGTTGCTGCGAACGACGGGATGCTCCGGATGAACAGTGTTTCCAGGTAATAACGCGTCGTAAGAAGCAATTCTTTAGTTCATATGGAAGGTCCTCCAAGCTGACTTTTAGAATACTATTGAC